TGGTGGGAAGGGGCAGTGGCTGGAGGATGGGGCTGGGGACTGCTGGAGTCAGTGTTCAGCTCAGTCCACATGGGGATGGGGTTGGGAACTGCCAGATCCCTAGTACTGAGCCCATGGTAAGTGGGCAGCCAGAGGATGGGGCTACTAGAGCTAGTGCTGCCTATGCCTGCTTAACATCCCATCCGTAGGCACACACAGCATAGGGCACCCCTAAATTTGGCACACCACTGTGGTGCTCTAAATGTAGCGGTAGTCTACACAGCTGAGTATGCTGCATATTTCTAAGGACAGTCCTGCACATATAGTAATCTGCCATCATTAGTGCTTTGTACAGCTCCACCCAACCTCCAAAAAAGGACAACCTTCTCCTTGTGAGTCTTTGCATGAGCAGGGCTCGATTACAGCAATTTGGGGTGCTAAACACATTTTCACATAGGATCTTTTCTGTGCCACAACCCTATTCCTTCATTTGATCATCCTACCCTTGCTCAGGATTGTAATGACTATGGCTAATGTCACCTGGTTATAGCCTAGTGGACCAGGATGACTTGACAACCTCAGAAAAGGTGGGCTTATAGGGAGGAGATGGAGGAAGACAGAAAAGGTAGGAGTTCTTAAAAAGGTGTTTACCAGTATTTATTTTATCTACACCATTTACATTTAGTCCTATTTCCTTGTAAATTATCCATGTTTTGTATACCCTGAGCCTTTTTACTCTCTAGAAAGTCCAAAATCTTTATAGGGAGGCAGAACACAGCTTGTGTCCAAACTCAGTACCTTCTTTTCCTCATGCAATGATCTGGTGCCCTCTCTGGAACTGTTCCCCCAACATCAGAATGAAGTGGGCCCTACATCCCTCCCACTTCCACCAGCTTCTGAGAGGATCTGTGATTGATTAGAGCCAGCCAGTTGTTTTTTTACCCTTGTGATAATTTACTCTGTCATAGTAACATATATATGAACAACTTGTTTTGCTATTAGGTGGTCTCCCCTCCTATGGCATCACTTCTATCTTCATACAAACTGGGTTCTGTCCAGAGGAAAGGACGACTCATTTCCTACACATCTGGACAATAAAGAGGAAATTACTCACCTGGGTGGAGTAACAACCGTTTTTCAGGATGTGTGTTCCTGTGGGTGTCCCCAGTAGGTGTTGGGTTGTCCCAGCACCGCAGATCAGAGTTTTCTTGAGGAGTGGTCAGCCGGACCACGCATGTGCAGCCCGCACCTCACATTGTTCATGCTCTTTTGTTCTCTCTCGCAATCTTGCTCCTGCCAGTTCTTTGAGCCCACCCCAGTATCTAGAAGATATTAAGAAGAAATCCGAGAGGGGGAGGAAGGCGGGTAGTGGAGTACCCACAAGGGGACATATCTCAACAAACCATCATTACTGCACCAAGGTGAATAACTCCCTCTTCTTCTTCGAGTGATGTCCCTGTGGGTGCTCCACTGTAGGTGCTCCACTGTAGGTGAATGTGTAGCAGTACTCAGTGTAAGCGGTAGGTGGGCCTTGGATTTATGGTTTGACAGCAGTCAATAGGACTGTGGAGGCCACAATAGTGTCTTTCGCGTGAGTCTGCAAGATTGTATAGTGTTTCATAAAAGTGTGATTGGTGGAGCACGTAGCCACTCTGCAGATGTCCTTAAGGAGAACTCCATGTAGGAAAGCCATAGAAGTTTCCGTTGCTCTTGTGGAGTGCACTCTAAGTATTTGAGATAATGGTTTATTCCTCAAAGTGTAGCATTGTGTGATGCAGGATACTATAAGTTTGGAGATGTGTTGTGATGATAGCTGATGTCCTTTACTGTGATCCACTGTAGAAATGAGCAAACAATCCAACTTGCGGAAAGATCAAGTTCTGTCTATATAGAATGCAAGAGCTCTACATACATCCAATAAATGAGATATTGCATTCTTTGTCGTTGAATGTGATTTAGGGTAGAACGAAAGGAGTATGATGGATTCGTTTATGTGGAAGTCCAAACAAACCTTAGGAATAAAGGAAGGATGGGGATGTAGTACTACATTGTCTCTATTAAGAACAGTATACCATGGAACCGCCATTAAGGCTGCTAACTCATTCACTCTGCGGACAGAATAGTAATAGAAATGTAGCCGTGTTAGTCTGGTGTAGCTGAAGCAAAATACCGGGCTATGTAGCACTTTAAAGACTAACAAGATGGTTTATTAGATGATGAGCATTTCATGGGCCAGACCCACTTCCTCAGATCAAATAGTGGAAGAAAATAGTCACAACCATATATACCAAAGGATACATTTACCTCCCCCCCCACTCCCCACATCCCCCTTCTGTTCTGAAATTTGATTTGTCCTTTTCATATGTGTTCATTTTTTAAAAATTGTATCCTTTGGTATATATGGCTGTGACTATTTTCTTCCATTATTTGATCTGAGGAAGTGGGTCTGGCCCACGAAAGCTCATCATCTAATAAACCATCTTGTTAGTCTTTAAAGTGCTACATAGCCCTGTATTTTGCTTCTGCAGACAGAAGTGATTGCCAGTAGAAAAACTACCTTTAGCATTTTCATCAACAGTGGACAGGTAGCTAGAGGTTCAAAAGGGGCACAGGTAAGAGTGTCTAGCACCATTTCCAAATTCCATGATAGCGGTGGAAGCCTATGTGGTAGGTATAGGTTAGAAACACCCTTTATAAATCTCTTTGTGATGGGGTGAGCTACGAGTGACCACCCTTCTACTGGCTGGTAAAAGGCAGTGATGGCTGATAGATGTACCTTTAAAGAGGAGAAGGCTAATCCAGCGTCCTTGAGGGACAACATGGAGTCCAAAACTCTATGTAATGGGGCTGTGTTTGGGTCTAAATGCTTGTTAGAGCACCAAGAGAGGAACCTATGCCACTTTTGGAGAAGGTGGTCCAGGTAGATCGTTTTCTGCTGTGCAAAAGAACCTGTTTTACTTGGTCAGAACACTGTAGTTCTTCCTGGTAGAACCAACAATGAACCATGCTGTTAGGCACAGAAGATGTGGCTGCGGGTGGAGTAAGGTTCCTCTGTCCTGAGTTAGAAGATCATGCCAAATCGGAATGTGGTAGGAAGGCTGAGGAGACATCAAGTACAGGCAAGGGACTTATATCTGTTGTGCCCAAAACGGTGCTATGAGAATAACTGTCACTCATTTCTGGTGATCTTC